TAAACACCTCTAACACCCTAACATGCCTAACGAGCACTTTCTGCGGTATAATGAAAAGATTTAAAACTCTTTACTCTTCTCCTGCAGTTCTAAACACGAGTAAATGTAAATAACATCACTCCACTGGCGTCAAACAAACCGAGGACTTCAGCAGAAAGTGAGCGTTGACCACATTTTCCGGAACGCGGCTCCATCCGTTCCATTTTCAGACAATCTGTTCAGACCATCTCCAACTTCTCCTCCTCGAAGGCCTCTAATCCTCGCCTGTGTGTAAGTGTCTATGGTTATGGAGACATTCACTCACCCCATAAGTGTTTTATTCAGTCTGAGCCCAAAGAGGATTTGATAAACAGCATGTACTTTATATCCCCTCTTGTCAATTAGCTAACATGTTGATGTCAGCATGGTCAGTATAATCCCTCCCTTAATGTACTGTAATAAACCCCCCCCCTCCTCTGCTCTCCTTCACTCAGATACTCACACACAGCAGTTCCTGAGGGAAGAGGCCACACAACAATATGACAGGATGCTGCATTAGCTCAGCCATCATAACAGCATTACCAGGGGCTGAATGAAACTCCCCGGGGCTTTGGAGGAGACAACTTTCTGACCCAGCAAGAGGGTCCGATGGACGAGGAGATTGTTGGATTTAACGTTCATCGGGATGCCTTGTGTATTGGATTGTTTCCTGGGTCATGTCCCGTTCTTCCACGTGAATTAAAGGAGACCGGTTCAGAGGTTTTGGAGCAAAAACAAAGACGCTGGAAAGGCACATCGAAGAGCACGTAGCTCCGCCAAGGCCCAACAGTCCTCTTAGATTATATCAAGCTGCATCAAATTGCACACACACAAGAATTGGTCTCTAAAAAAAAAAAATATTTCCTGGAAAATCACTGACAATGTAAAAAGAAATACCCCACCATCTTACAATGTAAACCCAAGTATTGAAAATGTATATTTTGACATTTGCTCTCTACAGCTTGTTAAGGAGTCACAGTGATTGCACTGACTTCCATAGTGGTGGTGGACTTACTTTGGTTTATCCTCTGGTGACAACGACAGCACGACATTTCCTCCAAATCCGTCCAGTAGCAGTTGAGACACATCGGTTCATGAAAGGTCACGCTCCGGCTCGACGGGCCCTGACCTGGTGGAAGATTTCACGAACTTTGTTTCCTTGTGTTATTTCACTCTGAGCTCAACAGCTGGAGCAGAAGTAATGACCAGTTCCCCTGCTCCAAATCTTCATCCACTCACATTGATCCCAAAAGCACATTTCCACGAAGCCTGTCCGCCCCGTCCGTCTGGTTCTGAGGGACACAGCGAGCGTCGGAGCCAAGATGGCGGCTAATGATGCGCAACTCGCCAGGGGACTTATGCGAGGCTGCGATTTCAGCTGGAGGATCGTCCAGTCTGGTCTGCTGATGCTTCCAAGACAGCTGGTGACACAAACCCTGCAGATCCAGAGGATCTGTCAGTTTGCACATCCCTCCAGACGCTCGACCACGAGGGCTGAAGTGTCTCTTCTTCTTGGACTGTGTGAGTGTGTGTGTGTGTGTGTGTGAGAGTGTGTGTGTGTGCGTGTGTGTGTGTCTCTTGTCCAGGTTTTCCCATGCAGGTAATAAAGAAGGACGACATGTGAGCTCCTCAAAAGTGAAGCCAAAATGTCCCAAGTGTCCCCTTGTGACTGCATAACAGGTTAAAAAAAACTTGCCTCCTCCATGTTAATGGGGGGGCATGGACCATATCACACTGATTTGTATATAAGAATTCATTTTGTCTGATAAGTTTGGTTTTGATTAGTTATTTGATGCTATATGTGATGAAGCAGCATGAACAAACAGCTGAGACTGTCTGTAGACGTTCCTCATGTTGTGAAGACTTAAAACTGTTTTTATTCACATTGAGGGAACTTGCTACTCTGGTGGAGACACAATGCATTTAATGTGAATTATCTAATTTTAATATAAAGCTAGTTTTAGAGTTTTGGGTAACATTTATTACGTAACATTTATTCAATTGTGAAAATAAACATGCAGGAGCTTGAAAATAACATTTTCACTTTCAGTTTTTGTCAAAGTCCAAAGTTAAGTGGATTCATGTCGGTCACTTAAGGTTTTTATAAACAGACAATCTGGTCATCTTTGTTCTTCAGCTGAGATCAGGAGGACGATCTCGAACCGATGCTTGTGTCTAAGAGTTTAAAGAAGAAGATTCAAAGTCTGGTTTTGATTTATAAATAATATGTTGGAGAGCTCAAGTATGAAAAGGAAACAAGTGAACTTGAAAACTTTGGTGAAGAGCCCAAGAGAAATTTCCCGCTATGTTACAATAAAGTTAATCTTGAATCTTGAACAAACATCAGTGTAACGGACAAATCCAACATGGAGATAAGAATGAAAAGAGAACAACGAAAAAACTGAGAGCATGAAAGTGTTTGAGTTCATGTGAGGATACAGATAAAACAGTGGAATCCACTGAGAGGACAAGAAGAGAGCAGAGAATACTGCAGCCAGAAGTCATACTGAGTCTGAATGCACCTCCTGCTGAGCCTGCACTCCTCTTTCTCCTCCTCTCTGCTCACTGTTAATGATAGAGGAGGCCCATCCTGCAGGTCAGCAGGAGTCATGTGACCCCAGCGTGCACCCTTCAGCGACCTCCAGGCGGACGATGAGCAGAGGGCTTAACATCAAACTTTAATGCTGATGGTTCAATGATACAACATTACATCCTTGTGCAGCACAGGCGTGACACAATGAGACGACATGAAACATAAAGCAGGACATCAGACAAATAGCAGGGCGCCCCCTACAGCTGGAGTCGTTCAATCACACGTGGACAAAGCTCACGTTTTTACCCTTAATGGTTGACAGCTGATCTTTAAGTGAGAATATGTGACACGGTCATGATTAAGGGCTAAAGAGCTGGACTCTGGTGAGCAGCATGGTGGCACAGTGGTTAGACGTAAGGCTTCACAGCAAGAACGCTCCTGGTTAGAATCCGGGTTCTCCTCCTCCTGCTGACCAGAGACATGCAGATTAAGTTTAATTAGACCTGAGACTCTTACACGGCTGCTGGTGTGAATGTGACAGTGACATGTGTCTCTGTGTGTGGGGTGATGGGCTGCTCATGCTGTATTGGATAAAATCAAAAATTCACTTCATGCATTAACCACAGCTACTTATGTAAAAGCTGTGTTTGAATAATCCATCATCCATTTTTCTCAAGTTCGTAAAGTCAGTTCCACTCATGGTTTCGGCAGTGAGACTTGTCCGCTGATCGCAAGTCCTGTTGCTATGGTTACCTGGATGTATTAACTCAGCGTGCGCTTCTTTAAAAAGCCGGTTACACTGTTGACCTAGTGGACAAGACCTGACATAGAATATTAACAAGCAGCCGTCAGCCTGTAAGAGACGTGTGCTTTCTGCTGCCACGGCGTATAACATGACGCAGCACAGTATGCTACACAAGTGCTTTCTCAGAAAAAGAGTACTCGACTAAAAGTACCCTGATAAACACACAGATACACAAACGGACACTTTGTCTTATTCATACCACAGAGGTTTTCTCCATTGGGAGGTCAGGGAGAGCTCAGGTGAGCCAGCAGTGTGTTCATGTACCTGTGAGTCGGAGAGCTGGGCCTCAATGCCTCTGGACCGCATCAATATTATAGCACACATGCAGGGCCGGAGAGGAGCTGATCAAATATTCATCTCCTCCTCTTTCTCACCGCTCTGCCTCGCTCCTGAAGGCCTGTAACACTCTGAAAACACACAGAGTCAGTGTTCACGTCTGTTTTGAGAGACGGTCTGCATGTGTGTTCAGTTATTCAGAGCTCCTGGGGGAGGAGTGTTTTGGGTGAAGTGGTGAAAGAGAGAGCGAGAGAGAGAGCGAGAGCTGCTTTTCAGGGGTCAAACACAGAACAAGGACGATGTGATGCTGAGGAAAGGTTCAAATGTTCAAACACACACACACACACACACACACACACACACACACACACACACAGACTCATGGAACACATTCATAAAGAGAAGAAGACAGTAAAATTGCATGAGAATATCAAAAGTGAATAATTTATAAAGAGCACATGAATATAAGTCCATAGATGTTATTGCACTATGGTTAAGATAAGAGGTGCAGGAGGCAGCTTTCATTTTGTATGTGTCGAGTTAGAGAGCTAACATGCACATCTACATTTTGAAATTGATGTTTTAGCTCTAATCTCTGTTTCTAAAATGCACAAAAGCGATGCATCGACAGAGCAGGTTCAGATATTCTCTGGTTTGTTTTGAGGGTGTAACTCCGCAGTTCAAGGTTTCAGTTTTCTGCCACTGAAAATCCAGTTCCTGCTGACCCCCGGTGGTGAAGAGGGATGATGTCGGTGGAAGATCCTCGTCATAGATATGCTGATCTAGTGATTTACAGTTTATGCTGATTCAGGGATCAGATGAAATCGACCTGACCTTGTGCAGGTCGGGGAGGTCGTTTGAGGGCGGTGCCTGCACGCTCTGACAACTGGATCAATCCCCACAGGACAGACGACGATCACCAGATGCAAAGGAAGAGGTGATAGTATCAAGAATGAGGTTTGGTCACACAGTCTGAAGATAACTAGTAACGAGTATTTATTCTTAGTCTGTCCTCAATAATAGAATAGAATCCTTTTATTGTCATTGAACAGTGTACAACGAGATTTAGCAGCAATCATCAAGGTGCACAGTATAAATACAAACAGCTTAAAGTAGTAGAAAAGGGTGCTTTATATACATAACACAAAATAAGCAATTTAATTGAATTAAAAATGAGAATAATCATTTAAAAACATTATATATGAGGAAATTAAAACATAAAAACATGAATTAACATGAATTCTGAGAGAGACGCCGCGGAGGGACTCAGGTGATGCAGGAAATAGAAAATATTCAGGTTTCTAAAAAATGAATATTAAAAAAATGTCCATTCTGACTTATACTCCTTTCCAGGCGGGGGCGGTAATGCGCCGATACGTTGTTTGCCACCCGGAGTTAAACATCAGAAGAAGAAGAAGAAAACAGGCGGAAGTGCTAAGTTAGCTAGGTGTGAGGTAAACAAAGGCTTCTCTGTGACGTAAGAAGGTACTGCACTCATGTTCAGACATATTTTAATTCACATTATATGTATTTTCTGCACACGCGCTTGTTTCTTGGAGCCTGGACGGTTTTTTAAAAGTCGTTTCCTCCACGAACGATTCCGGAATTTCACGGTCGAACAGCAAATGCTAACGGATATTAAACACAGCTAGCTAGCATGTTGCACATCAGTGTTTTTAAAAATCGAGCCTGAGGTCGAGACAGTGAACAAACGATTAACTGTGCATGTTGTCTTGCTCTGCTAGGATCTGAAACAGATGAATATGGAGAATGATGGACAACCCAGCAGCAAATAAGTGCCAAGTACCCTGTCATCAGTGGGTGAGTCCTAATGGCTGGTCCACAGCCTCAACTCAAGGACCCCTCCTCAACCCACTGGGCGTCTCTCAGCATCTCGGCCTGGTCTCGTCTCCTGAGCAGAGATCCTCCTACGACCACCTGCAGGCGTCCAGTCAGAGCTGTCTGAGCGGCTCCATCACGTCCTCAAACAACCTGTATCACTCTGCCATGTACAAAGCCTCTCACATCAGCAGCGACCCAACAGCCTCCACGTTATTCGCTGACGGTACGATCCCGAGTGCCTCTCCCCTCGTTTCATTTGCTCAGCAAGGCCCTCATGTTTCATCTCTTCTGCGAGCATCGAACCAACTGAAAACTTTACCTCCTCCAAACCATGGAGTACAACACTGCAGGTCCCAAAATTTACCACCTCTCTTATCCCACAACCCATTTCGACCTCCATTAACCAATCAGGGTTTACCGAGTGGACTTCAGGTTCTGCCCATGAGCCTTCCATCATGTGGACAACGTGTGAATACATCTCAGGCTCCGTCTGGAGGGATGAACGTGGAGTCGGCTGGTGTTGCTGAATACGCTCAGGGCTTTGGCCCATCCACTTCTCAGGAGCAGCCTCAGTGGATGCCTTCGTTACACAGCAGAGGTGAGACGTATTCGTAATACGTTTAAAAAAATCCTCTTCAGTGTGGTCAAACACGTCGGGTTTGAGACAAAGATAAAGTATTTTTTTATAGACTTTATCAGTCCCACTACCGAGGAAAGGGGGAATACTGAAATTCACTCAGTTAAGGTAATAAATAAATAAAACAAATACTATACAAACAGAAGGAACGGAAAAAGAAGTTTGTGCAATGTACACCAATATGTTATATACACATAAAATATATGAACATACTGGAACAATGTTTTTTATATTGCAGAAGGGGTTTGATAGATGATGTGAATATTTAAGTCACATACATTCTTTGCTAATTATATGTTTTTATAAAAATTCAGTTGTTTCAGGTTAGTGAATGATTTCCTTATAAGAGTCAAGTGTAATGGCCTCCATACTGGTTCCTATTGTGATGCTGTTCTCATGCAGTGGCCACAGGTCCAGTTCACACTCGGCCCTCTGCTGCATCTCTTTATCACTCTTTCCCCCTTTCACATTTAAAATCTGTCCAGTTTCTCTTAAAGCATCCGTCTCGCTCGTCTTCTCCGCAGGGGCTGTAAACAAGTCTGGCCGTGATGAAACTGTTCAGTGTAACAATGAGCCATCGCAGAAGAACAGAATTCCACTGGTGAGGAACTAAACGTTAAGCACCAATACTAATTCCCCTCGAGCTACCATCCTGTGATGTCAGGACGTGTCAATCACCAAGAGCTGTGGTTTTGTTAACGATCATTACCGTCGCATCATGACTTTTATGTCTTTTTTAATTTTATTTTTATCTGCTGTCAGCCCGACAATGAGAGGCAGCGTTCAGCCATCCTAAATCAGCGCGCACAACTACTCAAACAACTGGCAGAGATGGATGAACTCGTAAGTGTGTCATGGCAATTTTAAATTAAAGGTCAATATTATTTAGATATTTACCGCCCAGTATTTATGTGAAGTTACGATTCTGAAATAGAGTTAACAAATTCATGCTGTAAAGATGAGTATAGATAGTTGTAATATAGGTAATTGAATTGATTTTGTCTGCCCTTGAAGCTGGATTCAATACCTGCAGATAACACCGGTGATGGTCGGGCTCTACACACAGATATGCAGGTCGGTAAATTACTTTTTCTGCTCCTCATTAAATGATTAAATCTGCATAAATTACTTCTCGTTTTCTCTGTAAATTTAATGCTGTAACAATATTGTAACTTCAACACCACGACGACTTCTTCTCCTTCTTTATTTTGGTTTTTCACTCGCAGTCACCTCTTTCCACTGATTGTTCATCACCTGCTTCCTATGATGAACATCATGAGATCTGTGAAATGCCAGATGATCCGATGTCAGCAGGAGAATCAGAGGTAGTTACCTGCATTTCTGATGAGTTCAATTCATTTGATTCTTAACAAATTTTACAGTTTAGATTTTAGTATGAAGTAGTTCATCATTTCATCTACAGTATTTTTGACTGAGTCAGGCCATGACGTGAAGTTTTTTAACAATGCGTGAGATACATACAGTATACCTGTGTTAAGATATATAAAATATTTAATAAACGCTCAGTAAGATTTAAAGTTGCCTCATTTCTACGGACAATTCTTTTTACCTATTTCAGAAAAAGATAAATTCTTCAGTCGAGTCAGGGGATGACACTGATCCTGATTACTTACCCAAGAATGATGGCGACTTCTCCGATTTCCACTCCGACACTGACTGGAGCTCGTCAGATGAATGGAGTCGCAGTGCTTCCTCGACCCCCATGGATGAAGGACCTCCTCAGGGGAAAACAAAGACTAAGAGTTCCTTGTCTAAGGACAAAGGTGCAAAAAAGTCACCTGCAGCCTGTCAGAAGAAGTTCTCTGAAACGGTGGTGCTGCCGACTTTGAATACGAAGGCACAACGTGTGTACGACAAGAGGAATTACTGTTTGTTTTGCTTAAAGCCACAGTCCAAAATGGCACGGCATTTTGAGAGAGTTCACAGTGACAAAGCCGAGGTTGCAGTTGCATTTCAATACCCCGTTTTGTCCAAAGAAAGACGAAAGATATGGAAAAAACTCATAAATCAAGGAAACTTTGTGCACAATAAGAACGTGATAAAAGCAGGGAAGGGAGTACTTGCTGTCCAAAAAAGACCACAGAAGCCTGGACAAGCCCAAGACTTTCTTCATTGTCTTTATTGTCACGGCCTTTACGTGAAGAAAGCTGTTTACAGACACATGAGAAAATGTCCAGAGAAAGTGAAGAATGAAAACGAAACGGAATTTGGAAGAAAGCGTATTGCATCGCGGTGTGCACTTGAAATCTTTGGAGATCTTGGCATCAGTGATGGTTTCAAGAACATTGTGTGCGAGATGATATATGATGATGTTACAAAAACTGTCATCGATGACAAGATTATCTTGCAGTTTGGTGAACAAATGTTTAATCAGTACGCCTCCGATGTGAGGAAGCATGATTATATCCGACAAAACCTTCGTCAGCTAGCAAGACTTGTGCTCGAAGCTCAAAAAACAACGCCGCTGAAGAACCTGGAGGAATTCTTTTACCCTTCGAGCTTCCGACATGTGGTGTCTGCGGTGAAAGTCCTGGCGGGCTATGACCTAGAAAACAACACATTCAGCATTCCTTCACTTGCCATCAAGCTCGGTTACCACCTGCAGAAGGCCTGTAGTATTGTTGAGGCTAATGCAGTGAAGAGAGGTGATATGTGTCTGGCAGAGTCTGCAAAAAACTTCCTGGTGGTGTACCAGAAGAAATGGAATAGGCTAATTTCTTCAGGGGCATTAACAAATCTCAGAGAAATAAAAAAGACCTCGGATAATAACGTGCCAATTGTCCAAGATGTAAAGCTGCTGAATTCCCACCTGGAGAAGGTTCATCGTCTTGCTGAGACCAAACTCAGAGAAAGCCCTTCTTCAGAAAACTATGCTTGTTTGGCCAAGGTGATACTTGCCCGGACAATCGTTTTCAACATGAGAAAACCCGGAGAGGTATCGACGATCCAGCTGAAGACTTTTATGTCACGGAAAAAGTCAAATGTGCTTGATGACATGGACGTGTCTGTTACAGAATTGGAAAGAACCATGTGTGGGTTTTTCACTAGAGTTGACATAAAAGGGAACTGTGGGAGAATGGTACCTGTTTTATTAAAACCCTCATTCCTGTCGGCCCTGGAGCTTCTCGTAAATGTTCGTGAGACGTGTGGAGTCCCGCAAAAGAATCCCTTTCTCTTTGGCCGACCGTGTGCACTGTCTGCCTACAAAGGGTCAGAGTCCATCCATCACTTTGTCAAAGAATGTGGAGCTAAAAACCCTGAAGCTCTGACATCGAGAAAAATCCTGAAGCATTACCCGAAGATGCTCCAGCTGATCAACCTGGACGACGACGAGGCCAAACTCATTTTCGGCTCTCGACATCAAATCAAGTCCTGGCAACACAACAGCGACATGCAGCAGAATGAAACGGACTCTGAAGGTAAAACATTACGTTTCATTCATTTCTTTAACAAAAACTACGACTAAATGTTTTATTTTTTCATTGCTAAACAAGAGGAGACAAAATAATCTAAATCCGTCTCTGAACAACTGTCCTGCACATGTCAACCAGTGCCAGACTGGAGCTAGTTATGTGCTTGAACACGTCTTCCACATCAAGAAATGAATGTGACAGCAATAAAACCTAATGGTTGACATTTGGACCCAGATCAGATATGATCCTCCACAAGAGTTAAAGTAGGTGATTAGTTTTATTGGGAGAGAAACAGGATGTAAAATCACTGGGAATTGATCAGAAGATATGAGATACTTTCTCCTTTTGTTTTTACTACAGCAACGTTACAGCCTGACACAGGACAACAAGCTGCATCATGGTATCACACTGAGATCTCCAGTACAAGCTACCAACAACCAAATAACTATCAACAAGAACGTGGATCAACAACAGGCAACTGCAAGACTGTTCCTCCAAAATCTGTCGCCCCAGGCGACAAAGGTAATTCTTGCTTGAGTGGATCTGGATGAACCAGCAGATCTGTTTTTGTTCTGCTTTCTTTAACATGGCAAGATACAACATAAGCCTTGACAAAGATATGCACACTTCACGTCCCCTTCGAGCTGTCCACCTGTGTTCACACTGTGATGTTAAAGTTTCCAGCCTTTGTCCACAAATAGACACAACAACTTGATTTCTTGTTTCCCCTCCTCCCACAGGGTCTCAGTACAAGGGTAAACAGAAATGGGAAGAAGCCGAGGTCCGCGCTGTGGAAAGACACATGATGTGTTTCATTGAGGGACACAAGGTGCCTCAGAAAAACGACTGTGTCCAATGTCTTGAGGCCGAGGCAAAAGCCCTGAAGACCCGTTCGTGGAAAGGTGTGAAGGACTACGTCAGAAACAGGATCACTGCGCTAAAAAGACAAAGTGGCACTTCACGAGCCTAATCCACAAACAGCAACAAGACGTGGGCGAGTGGAACCATAGCAGAGTAGTTGACGAGTTCATCAGCTGTATAGAGGATAATTTTGTTTCAAGGAAAACCTGTAATGTCCAACTTTTCCATTTTCTTATCCTTCATCACACGTTTCAATAGTTTTAACCTCTGCAGCATCATGAGCATTTCAGTCCATCACGTTGGTCAGAAATGTAAATTTTGTCAATGTCAATACCAATTTTATTCATAGAGCACATTTAAAACAACTTGATTGACCAAAGTCTTCCCTCACATGAGTACAGAATGATTTTCTGTGTGATTTTATTTTGCATTCTTATCAAGTTCATTCAGAGACGGCTCATAAACGAAGTGTTCCACAGTAATAGCTGATACATTATTTTTGCAGCTCTGTTTACCTTCTGTGACCAAGTTATCTAGTACACTGTATTTTATTGTTCTGTTTGGTTGACTAGTATTTTAAAGTTTGGCATTGTAACACAACGTTCCAATAATAAAAAAATAAAAAAACATTTTATTTACCACACATGAAACTGGTGAGTTGAGGTTTTCGATCATTTGTCTTATGTCCTTGCAAATATTGAATGACTTGAATATCATGAATATTTGACTTAAAAGAAGTTATAGCAGCAAAATCCCATTCACATCTTTACTAATGTAGAAGCACAGATGATAAAAAATCTGCAGCAAAATAAACTTCAAGTTTTTAAGGTA